TATATGTATAATAAGACCTATAGAGTCTACTTTGTGTCCCCAAATATATTAAGGATCTTCTGAGATCCAATCTAACATATGATTTTCAAGCAGATAAGTACCCATGGCAGAGACTTTTAAACCTAATTTCTGTTTGTTTGTTTTGAGGCAGGGTGTTCATGTTTCCCCAGCTGACCTGGATCTCACAGAGATCTACCTGCCTCTGCCTCCCTGTGCTGGGATTAAAGGCATGCACCGCCACACTCAGCTTGTTTTTGTTTTTCAGACTGGATCTCGTATTCCAAACTAGCCTTGAACTTACTATGTAGCCAAGGATGACCTTGAACTCCTGATCCTCCTGCCTTTACCTCCTAAGTGCTAAGATTACAGGCATTAAACATTCTTAAGTTTAGAAATTACAAATTATTTTGAGATTGGTTTTCTCTATGTTATTTGAGTTGCCTTGATATAGCTTGCTCTTAAACTTCTGTTCAAGCAATTCTCCTGCCTCAGCCCTCTGAATAGCTGGGCCTATAGGTACATGCCACTGTGCCCAGCTTTAAAAATTTTAACATAGTCTATATTTAATATATCTTTTGGTTTATTTGAGATAAGTTCTCATTACACAGCCCTGGCTAACGTGAAGCTCATTATAAAGACCAGACTGGTATTAACTCTGGATCCTCCTGCCTCAGCCTCTCTTGTGCTTTGATTACAGATGTGCAACACCACCCTGGCCCTGCACTGGTGTGCGTGTGTGTGTGTGTGTGTGTGTGTGTGTGTGTGTGTGTGCGTGTGTGTGTGTGTGTGTGTGAGAGAGAGAGAGAGAGAGAGAGAGAGAGAGAGAGAGAAAACGAACAAAGAGTAGTAGGTGCTCTCCTTCCACTGTGTGGGTTTTTGAGGAAAGGTGATGTAATCAAAGCTATAGACTGAAGCTCAGCTTCTGTCCCTGGCAGAGAAAAATGGTCATTTTCTCATATGTGAGGCAATATAGCAAAGAAGGAAAACACACTACCTCTGGGACCATTCAGGTTTGTTTGTATTGCTCAGATCTATCACTTCATAGCTCTGAATCATGGGCTATCCCTTAACCATGCCCAAGCATTAGTTTTTTTGTAAAGAACTATCTCAGGAATGAGGAAGGAATCATGACTGTGCATTAAGGTGTCTGTCACGTACATGGTAAGTCTCCAGCAAACAGTTTTTCTGCCAGTTATATCCTTTTAGTAGTACTGAGTCCTGCTTATATAGAATCTCAGAGTATCACTGTTGTTCTAACATTATGACTTGAAGTCCTAGTTTGCTTTCTCTTGCTGTGAGAAAACACTGACCAAAAATAACTTGGGGAGGACAGGGTTTATTTCATCTTACTTTTCCAAGGCACAGTCCATCTTTGAGGGAACTCAGGGCAGGAACTCAAGGCAGGAAACTAGAGCTAGGAACTGAAGCAGAGACCACAGAAGGAATACAGCTTACTGACTTGCTCCTCTGCCCTGTCTTCAAAAAAACGCCTGCTTTTTTATATAGCTCAGGACCACTTGCCCAGGCATGCCACTACCCACAATGGGCTGGGCCCGCCCACATCACTCAACAGTCAAGAAAATGCCCTAAAAGAAATTCCCTAGTGGAGGATCTCTCTTCCCAGGTTTGTTGACAACTGAAGCTATCCAGCATGCTTGGTTAGTAGAAAAATTGTCTTCATCCATTGAACTAGCCAATGGCATTCTTTACTTTGAATTATCATGACTTTGTGTTCTTCTGGCTACCATGTCTCTGGGTAGGATACAGAAAAAAGAAGGGAAACAACTAAAGGCCAATCAGGTTCTCTTGTCCCATAGATACTCAGAACTAGAAGATATCTTTCCCAGATGGTCTCTCACATTATAGTGGCTCATTCCCCCACCCTGTCAAAGTTCAATGTCCATCTCTACTATATTTAATTCATTTCCTTTCCTTAACTAGATAACTCTGGTCTTTAATATCAACAGACACGTTTATCTTTTTTATTATTATATTTATTTTATGTGTATGCATGTAGGTAAGTGCACCTGTGTTGTGCGATGCCCGTGGAGGACAGAAGAGGCTGTCGGATCCTCTGGAACTGGAGTTATGGACAGTTGTTAGCTGCCGTGTGGGTGCTGGTATTCAAACCCGGGTCTTCTGCAAGAACAACCAGTGTTCTGCTGAGCCATCTCTCCAGCCCTGACACTTTTATCTTTTTAGTTCAATAATACCATATGAAGGATCTTATTTTTGACATTTAGGTTAATGATGTCTGTTTAAATCCTATATTTGAAAGATAGTTGTATTCAGTGGTTCACTAATAAAATACATTCATTGCAGAATCCTTATAAGTAGTTTACTGATGATTATTCATACTTATTCACAATGGGCTGTTAGTGTCATTTTGGAGCCAAGTCTTAGGCTCTGAGGAGCTTTAGACTGTGGACCTAATCTCATCCTGAAGTCTGTGTTGTCTCTGCATTTTTAAATACCTTAGCAAGGGTGAGATCTAGACTTTATAGAGATGTGGTGTCATCTGACACATATATATATATATATATATTAGCTCTAATTTTATGAAGATACCCTAACATGGGGCTGGAGAGATGGCTCAGCGGTTAAGAACACTGGTTGTTCTTGCAGAAGACCCGGGTTTAAATCCCAGCACCCACATGGCAGCTAACAACTGTCCATAACTCCAGTCCCAGGGGATCCAACAACCTCTTCTGACCTCCACAGGCATTGCATGACATGGGTACACTTGCCTACATGCAGGCAATACATGCATGCACATAAAATAAAAATTTTAAAAAGATACCCTAATACTTATTACATTGTAACTATAGTATATATGGCAAAACCTTAGTTAAACAACAGAGTTAACACTCTACCTAGGGCACTTAGTTATCCATTGGAAAGAGTTTAAAATCTTCTACCACATGACTAAACATATGTAAATTACATGAGTGAGTGTCAGTTCACTGAAGCTATTGTATTACAAATGAATAGTTTAAAAGGGACCTGATTCTAGATTTGGAAGGCAAAACTAGAAAAGATACAATCTACCATTACTTCTTATGGAGCTAAAGGACATGAAAAATGTTTAGCGATTTTACCAAAGTCACAGCTATTTACTGACAAGCTAGCATTCAAACTCAAGACTTCTGTCAGTTGTATATTAATGGTCTAGCTTTAAATAAAAGTTGGCCACATTTAGTAATTACTGGGAGAAGCTCAGTAAATGTTACTCTCACTTATTTTTTTGTCATAGTGTGAAGAATGGTGCTGAAATCTTTTTAAATTAAGAACATATTCTAGTTAATTGTCTCCTTTTGGGAAAGAGAGATTGTTAGCCTTTAGGACTCCAGGGGCTGAAAGATAATGGGCATTTTATTTTTTCTTCCTTCCTTGATTCTTCCCTAATAACCCACCTCTTTCTAAGAGAATAATATTGCTTCTTTAAAACCAGGTGTAAATTTTTCTCTAGTTTTAATGAATCACGGAAGTAAAATGTTTAAACAAATGGAATTTCTACCATAGCACACCCTGACACTTTTCTCATGTCATAAATCCACTGGTAAAGAAGGATTCAGTGTATCCCCTTACTCTAGCCAAGGGATTTTGTTTCTGAAGGAAGATATTGATCAAGAACATGATGTGTATGTGAATATATGATCTCAAGTCTTCTTGGAGACAATAAGTTTCTTTATTTTAAAAAGTTTTAATTTCCATACTTTGTTTTGCAGACCTTCTCAAAGGCAATTAGGTTTAATGTGGATTATGGAGTTTTTGAAGTAGTCAATGATGCCCCACAACTTCTGGAAAAGCAACTGAAAAAAATTCTTCAAAACCAGCAACCTCGAAATCCCATCTATGATGTTATAAGGAAAGGAAAGAGTGGTCACACTAGACCTGTTCAAAGGAATGTCCCCTGTGAAGATGAGGCCATTAACATCAACTACAGTATTATGGTAAGAAACCATTTGAGTCCATATCAAAAGACCAGGAAAGCATTTGGGGAGATTCTTCCCTCTCTGAAGTATAACTGGACTTACCAGCATATTGTACTTACACTTAGTGTTTTTGGCACGGTGTTATCTCTTCATATGGAGTGGCCAGTTGAGTCTATCAGCTTTATTGATGTTAAATAATCAATTTAAGAAGGTTTGTGTGATTTGTCTTGAATATATAAAATGCCAGGTTAGTTTAGGGCAGTATAAATATGATATATCCTTTATAGTTTAGCTGCATTCTATGAAATGTGTCTATAAAGGGAGACATTTGGGGTTTAAACAAATCCTAATAACAGTTGGGAATTGACACTGCTTTTGAGTCTCAAGCACGAGACACGTGCTTTTGCACTATGTGACTCAGATCCCTGGCTCTAAATTCTATTGTCAGCAGTCAGTTTTTGTTTCCTTTGCTTTAGGTCAGAAAACCAGCATTCTAAATTAGCTGTTCAACTGACTAGCTCTGTGTCCTTGAAAAAGTCACTTGGATGAGACTTGTTTTCTGTCATGCCTTCACTCTCTACTACTTGGGTTTATTGTGTGGCTCAGTGACAATAAGAAAGGCTGTGTAAAAATGCTGTTTTCATCTGGTAGAACTAGGGTGAACTACATCTTCTTGGAGCTTCATTCAGCTCTACTCAGTTCTTCTGTTACTAAACTCAGATGAGTTTCTTCCTTGCTAGCCTCTATCAAATTAAATGCTAATAATAATCACATTAAAACATTGTTTTAAAGTTAAAACAAGGAAACATTCTGAATTCAAATTATTAGTTAAAAGTTTTTAAACTAGGTATGCCAGTATTTAGTAGCAACAATTATTAGTGGCACATCTATTATTACATTAAATTAAGTGGCCTAAGTGTCCTAATTAAAAATTTGAGTCAGATGAGATAGAAGAAGATTCAGCTATTTGCTGTCCACAAGGAACCAACCTTAAATATCAGATAAATATGTTAGAGTTTAAAAGATAGAAAAGAGCAGGGCATGGTGGGACACTCATTTAATCCCAGCACTTGGGAGGCAGAGGCAGGTGGATCTCTGTGAGTTCAAGGCCAGCCTGGTCTACATAGTGAGTTTTATGTGTATGTGTGTATTGCCTGCATGTATGTAAGTGCACTTGTGTTGTGCAGGGCCCACAGAGGTCAGAAGAGGGTGTCAGATCCCCTGGAATTGGAGTTAAAGACGGTTGTTAGCCACCATGTGGGTGCTGGGAACCAAACCTGAGTCCTCTGCAAGAGCAGCCAATGCTCTTAACTGCTGAGTCATCTCTCCTACCCTACCATACAATTACTAATTATAAGAAAGTGGGAGTAGGGGGCTGGGAGAGATGGCTCAGAGGTTAAGAATGCTTGCTGCTCTCACAGAGGACCCAGGTTCAGTTCCTCACACTCAAGTCTGGTGGGTCACAACCACTTGTAACTACAGCTCTAAGGGATCTAGCACTCTATCCTCTTCAGGGCTTTGTAGGCACCTGAACACACACACACACACACACACACACACACACACACACACACAGGTAAATCTTTTTTAAAAAGAATAAAAACCTAGGTTGGTCAAATTAATATTAGACAGAGTAGACTTCAGAACAAGGACTCTTGCTATGGATAAAGAGGGGCATTACACAATAATAAAATGTTAATTTAGAGACAACGCAATAACCTGTACTATGTATGCACCTGACCCAGTGCTTCAGAATGCACAATAAATACCGGTAAAGCTGAAAGGGGGAATAGTCAAAGCCACAGTTAATGTTTAAGATTAAAACACTGCTCTCTCACTAATCAGTAAAACAGTAGAACATTAAGAACATAGCAATTCTGTATCTCACTAACAATGAAGGCATCTTGTTGAAGTTTATGAACACTTTACCCCCAAAGCCAAATATATGTTCCTTTTTAAGTACACTTGAACTGCTTCTCAAAATATATCATATTATGACATTAAGTTATGATACCTAGAAGATTTGAAATCATGCAAAGTATGTTCTTGATTGCCCCTCAGTTAAACCATCAATTAATAACTTAAAAAAATCTGGAAATCACCAAAGATTTACATAGTTAAGCAACATACTTTTTTTTTAGTCTTTTAAAAATTATTTATTTAATAATCATATATTTGGCTTTGTCATTTATTTTTTTAAATGATTTATTTAATAACCACATAATTAGAAGCATTTAATTACAACAGATTGACATAGTCAATAACAGTTTCTAGAGCAAAGATGTATCTCTTTCAAAATTGGCTATAATTTTTAGGTTTCCAGTGTTTAACTAATACACTTATACATTATTGTACTCAGTATAAACCCTGTAAGATATAAAATTGAATGAGGTTTTAACCTTTAAAAAGATCTCCATTTCATTATTAAAATATAATTTCATACAGAAAAATTCATTTTTAATGCAACTTACACTAAGATGTTTGCACATGCATTTCTAATCTCTATATATCTGATTATTACTAGTCACAGTCGTTTACTTTCTGAGCTCCTTGGCATCCGAGCATGGAAATAAAGTCATCAGGTAGATTTCAGTGGTAATGTTTTTCACATCTAATTATGAAGGAACAAATTTTTATGCTTTGAAGACTTATTTTTTTTAAATTTAATAACCACATGATTAGAAGAAGCATTTCATTACAGTTTTAACATATTCAGTAACACACTACAGAGCAAAGATGCATCTATTTCACATCTCTCCTCCTAGCCTGGGTCCTGTCCCATTCCTTGTTCTGGCGCCCCAGACACCAGGGGAACCACCACTGCTTCCTGATTCTTTGCATCCAGACCAACCCAGTTCCTTCTCAAGTCCCCAGCAGTACTCTGGGCCTGGCCCCACCCTCACCTCCCTCTGCTTCCGTGGGTCTGCACAACCCACAGGCCTCCCTCCAACACGCAGGCCTCTCTCTGGGCTAAGTCGCCTTCCTCAGGCCTGAGGTCCCCAGCCTCATTCACCCGCCCACCTCCCCCTCCCATCTCTCCTGCTAGCCTCTGTCCTGTCCTGTTCCTTGTCTTAGTGCCCCAGACACAGGGGGAACAACCACTGCTTCCTGATCCTTTGCATCCAGACCAACTCAGCTCCTTCTCAGGTCCCCAGGAGCACTCCAGGCCTGGCCCCACACTCACCTCCCTCTACTTCCCTGGGCCTGAATGACCCACCAGCCTCTTTCCTGGACACCTGGGCTGACTTTTCCTCTTCCTGATCCTTTGCATCCAGACCAAACCAGCTCCTCAGCGCGGTCCCCAGGGGCCCTTGTGGCTGCCTCCCACCCCTATCTTCCTTTGCATCTCTGGGTGGCACAGCCACCAGCTGTCCTAGACCAGCATCTTTCCTGGGCCCGGCTCTCAGGCCAATCCAACCCCCAAATTCCTGAGGCCAAAATCGTTCCTGGAGGGATTCAGACTATAGGAGAAAGCCTGAAAACATCTGACACTCATCTGAATTGGGCCTCTGTGGGAACTCCTGAAGATAAAACCAACTTGGTCACGCCAAAATAAAATCAAAAAGAGAACTGGAAGCTTAGAGGAACCAGCTTTTCATGCACAAAAAGTAAGCCACAAAGAAACATAAAGTTTACCAAAAGAAGCAGACTTAAACTTATAGTCTTGAGTCTCACACAAGAATCAGAAACTACAAAAGAAA